TTATATGTATTTAGTTTCAAGAATCTTAATAAAGTACTAGCGTAACTGCTTAAGGTTAAAAAAAAAAAAAAAAAATGTTATTCAAGTTCTCTATAAGGAAAAATAAAACATAATGGAGGAGTAGATGAGCAGAGTGCCCTTTATGAATTCTTTGAAGTGGACCTCTACAAAGTTGAAGAACAATATTATGCATTATTTCAGAAATTGATCCATCATTAGGTAATATTATAGCAATTTTATTCACAGTAGAAAGGTTGTATTTATGTTGGTTAGTTAATTTATTAAAGTGAAAATAAACTATCAAGTTTGTTATTTTTCCTTTTTCCTCTTATGTTTGAAGTATTTTATATGCTTGTTGATATATAGAGTAAAACATATTATATTGTTGTAAAAGATTTTGTATCTCTCACATTGTATTTGTTGTTAAAGTTTTATTTCATTCTTAAATGATAAGCTATTTTAGAGTCATATATATAAAGTTGAGCATAGGTTGCTTTAATATATGAGTCAGGAAGCAAAGAGCCTATATGATAATATAATTTACTATTTATACGAAAAGTATATAGTTTATAGCTGTCAAGAACTGACCAGTCAATGTTAGCTCCAAGTGAAGTAAATGCATATGCTGCATTATATTGTTGGATATTTTGTCAAAATTCTTTAGAACATTCATCTTATTCTTCAAAAAGTTGATGCAAAAGAAGTAGTAGATCTTGTAGAAGTGGCAAAACAACTTTGTTATATAAACAATATGTACCAAATTTGAAACAATTTCGAGAAGAGAAAGTGAGACATTCATCAAACCAATGGAGTGCTCTATAGTAATTACATTCAATATTCATTAGGCCTAAGTTATGTCTTTCATGAATATGCTATAAAAAGTCAAGAGTAATTAGAGGTTGAATAGACACTGTAGGTTTGTTTACTGATTTAATATGTCTTTTATTATTTTTTTATATTTTGGTGTTTTTGCAAAAGTTGTTGATAGAAATTTTAATATAAGATTAAGTCCTGATTTTTTTTTAGTTCTTCTTTGCTGTTAAGCAATTAACTTTCGATTTGGAATTTGAGGCATAATAGAATAAAGTTAAGTATAAATATAATAGTTATTATATTGTTACTATTTATTAAGAAAGTTAATAATCATAATAAGTTTAATCTATCTCTAGCAAATAACTTTAAAGATAAGTATTTTTGTTATTTTTGTTCACAGTTTCAGGATTTATAAAATTTATGAGGTCTTAAGTAATATTTTAATTCAAATTTTAGATGCTAAACAAATAATATTAGAAATTAAAATGGTTTAATGATATTTTTAATCAATATAGGGGTCTTGGATATTTTAAGAATAATAAAAATTTTATGAGATAGTTGTTAATTATAATCGAATTAAATTTAGTATCTAAAAATAAATTTGACCATGAATTGGATTTAAGACACTTTTGAATTGATGCTTTATATTATGTTAAAATAGACAAAAGGTTATTTTTTTAAAAAAAGAATAAAAGCTAATATACAAAAAGAGAAGAGTTAGTAAAAGATAGATATAAAAGTTCAGTAATATTATCACTTAAAACAAATTCTAATAATTAAGTTTTAAAATAATAGACTTGCACTGGCATACAAATATAATGTTTTATTTATTAGCACAAGTATTTTGTTTGTAAGATAAAATTAAAATTAGAATTTTTAATTTTAATTTTAATAAAAAAGTTAAAGATTAAAATATATTATATTAATATTTAAAGCTCTATTTAAATATATTTTTGATCAATCAGAGGATATACTCTAGCATTATTCAAACAGTATCTGTAGTACTTTAATAATTAATACATCATTAAGATGTTTGTTATTCTGTTTTTAGTCATATAATCTAAGCTTCTAGTAATCTATAAACATATATATAAAAAACAGATATTCAGAATGATTTATCTAATTTACATACTATATTATTAAGAAACACTAAGTTATAAGTAAATTAGGTTTTAGATTATATATTGATGATTGATACTGTTATCTTATATCTACTTCTTTTAAGATAGTAGATAACTAGAGCAACCTTAGACAGTGAACACTTTTTGTAA